CTTCTAGTATTTTGTTATTTATTAGACATCACTGTAAAGAGAAATTAACTATATAAAAGATCTTTGTTTGGTAAAGGAGTTGCTGGGTGGGGCAAACCTTTAAGCACTTGTTTACTAGGCAAGATTAATAGTTTAAAATAGGCCTAAGAGGTGAACAATTACACCAAGTAGGTACACTCCTTAGAACAATCAACCACAGATGATTAGAAGGGTGGCATTTGCACAAGGAAATAGCTCAGAGGGCAGGAATGAGGAGAAAAGGACAAAGGGAAAAGATAACCACAGGGAGGAAGTGGGAAGACAGCTGTTACATTGTGGGGACCGCAATCCAAGCCATGAAACAAAATATGTATGAACTTGAATGGAAAACAAATTTGCTCTGTAAACTTTCACCCAAATTACAAGCAATCAATAAAAGCTGGTAGGTGCTGTGGGGTCGACCCCGACTCAGCGACCCTAAGTGACGGAGCAGAACTCTCCCATAGAGTTTTCTAGGCTGTAATCTTTAAGGAGCAGATCGCCAGGGCTTTCTCCCACGGAGCTGCTGGTTGGGTTCGAACCGCCAATATGCGCTCTGGAAATGCTTACCGAATAAGAAATGGCTAGTACAATATGCAGGTTCCAGGCTAGCAGCTCAAACCCACCAGCGGCTCCTCGGAAGGAAGGTTGGGCAGTCTACTTCCGTAGTGATTCTGCCTCGGAAACCCAAGGAGGGGTCGCTATGAGTCGGGTCCGACTCCACGGCACATAACAACAACATGGACAGAAGAGCGACTTAAAGTCCCAGCCATTCTAGTTGTGTGGCTTCGGACAAGTCGCCTAACCACGCGGAGATCAATTTCCTCATCAATAAACCGGTACTGCTACTACTTCCCTCAGCTATCTCACTAGTTCGTTAGGAGGCGCTATTTAATGGGGCAACAAAGAGCTTTAAGAACTGTACAACGTTGCACACGTTCTGGTAGGGCTGTTAACGAGTATGATTGACTAGACGGAAAGAATCCTGGACTCGAGGGTCCGAAGACGCTGTTGGGCAGGGTCTATAATTAACCGGCTGTGAAGCCCACGACGGTCATTCTTTCCTGTTTTCTCATCTTAGACAACGACGGTCCAGGCCGTGTTCTAATACTCTGTAAATCCGTTAAAGGTTCGGGACCTCAGATGTCCTCGAAAAGGTGAAGCCGGGGCTCCCAGATATGCCCGCTGGGGCAAGGAGATTCAAGGTCGTGGAGTGCTATGCGGGGTCGCTCACCCAGTCAAAGTCACACGGGTTGCCGTCTTCGCGTTGCGTAGGGAGACCGTGGCAGAGCGGAGGCAACTTCCTTAGGAGTAAGAAAGAGGCAGAGAGGAGAGCTGACAGAAAGTAATAAGGTCGGGCCAACCATCGTGAAAGTCGGGGAACCGAATACACCAGTGCAATTAAAGGTGCCAGGACCGCCATTTTTTCGGCCCTCGAGGCGCCCACCGCCTACGGCGTCTGTCAGTCTGGTCCCTTTGCCCCACACCACTGAAGCTCCCATTGGATAAAGCCTCGGATGCACCGCCTACTGACCCGACGATAAACTTCCATTGGCCATGCGGATAGGTAGGACCTGAAAAAAAAATAACCGATATCTTATTGGTCAATCCAGCTGCCGCTCTTTCCACTTAAGGCGTGTAATCGAGTATGCGACTGTGGTGAGCGGAGGTAGCATAGGAGAATTTAATAAGTTTACATATCACTTCCGGAGCGTTCGCATAAAGCGACGGAAATGGTTGCCGGAAGAAGGTAAGCGGGGCCTGTGACATCCAGTGATAAACGTCTCCTGGAAGTGGAGGGCGTTGCCCTGTGAAGGGATTGTCCAATGAAAGTCAACAACGCCAGATACCGAGGCAGCGCCGGGGCGGAGGGGACGATGGAGAATTTTACAGCGCTCTTTGGCGCTCAAGCTGACCCACCACCGCCTCCAACCGCACTGGGTTTCGGCCCGGGAAAGCCTCCACCCCCGCCTCCGCCTCCCCCCGGCGGAGGACCTGGCACAGCCCCACCTCCCCCCGCGGCTACAGCCCCTCCTGGCGCCGATAAATCAGCGGCTGGTTGCGGGCCCTTCTACCTGATGCGGGAACTGCCAGGTGAGTATTAAGCCTGGCCGAAACCAGCCAATCATCATAGAGAGGAGATGGTGGGCGTGGCTTTCAGGTAGCTGGCGGAGGTGAGAGGATACACGTACCGGGAGTCACTTGCTCCAAGCCGCAAGGGCTCTGTGGATCCGCAACCCCCAGAATGTCATGAATTCATGGGATGGTGCATCTCTGGGACCATCTTCTACGCTGCATCTGGGTCCTATCCCTGACAATGGTCTTTGGCTTTCAATAAATGGCCTAAGGTTTGAGTTTGGTGCAGTACTTTCAAGTTCACAGCATACTCACATATGCTTTAGCATTTCATGTTTAGAACAGTCCTTTGTGGTAGATTAGTTGAATTTTATAGGTGAAAAACTGAAGCTCCCAAACCAAAACCAAACACATTGCCATCAAGTAGGACCCGAGTCATAGCGACCCCTCCTTGGGTTTCCGAGGCGGTATCACTACGGAAGTAGATTGCCCAACCTTCCTTCCGAGAAGTGGCTGGTGGGTTTGAACCGCCAGCCTTCTAGTTAGTAGTCAAATGCCTTAGGCACTACGCCACCAGAGCTATAGAGACAGAAAAAAGAAAAAAATACCTTAGTGGCTTAAGTATCAATTGAGCAACTAGTTTGCTATCAGCTGGTAACATAAAGGTTGGCGGTTCAAACTCATCAAGCAGCTTTGTGGAAGAAACGCCTGATCATCTGCTTCTAAATAGACGACCATGAGCTAGGGGCCAACTCAGTGGCATCTCCCAATGGCAGTGTGTGTACTCTGCTGGTAACTAGCGACATATACACGATCAAGGTATTGCCTCTGCCTTCAAGGGACTCCCAGTTTAGAACCACTTTTGTCATTTGTACCATGCATGTTTAGCTTAACTAAAGATGAAGTTTTTGATTAAGTATTTCTACCCTTGTAACTGGTTCCTTATTAAACTACTAGCAAGTTTATACTTTTTTAAAAAGGCTCAACCACATGGTATTTATACCGATAATGCCTTGCATTTATGTAATACTTCATACTTTTCATTGTCTTAATTTGAACCTTAAAAAAAAAAAAAAAAGTATACTGAATATAGCTCTTACCCATTCCACAGGTAAGAGGAACCTGAGCCATAGCACACAGTCAATATAGAAGACTAGTTCCCCATTTTCTAATTAAGGAGCCCTGGTGACACAGTGTAAGAGCTCTGGCAGTGTACTGGGGAAGGCATTTGGTTGCTAACAAGAAGGCAGGTGGTTCAAACCCACCAACCACTCCACAAGAAGATGAGGCAATCTACTTTTGTAAACATTTACAGCCTTGGAAACCCAATGGGGGTCGCTACACATTGAATCCACTTGATGGCAGTGGGTTGGGTTGGGTTTTTGGTAACACAGTGGTTAAAGTGCTGGGCTGCTAACTAAAAGGTCAGCAGCTCAAACCCACCAGCCGCTCTTCTGGTGAAAGAGTTACAGCCTTGGAAACCCTGTGGGGCAGTTCTGCTGTTTTATAGGGTTGTCGGAATCAACTCCACAGCAGTGGGTTATCTTCTAATGAAGTATTTCTCCCTTCTAGGCAAAGCATTATACTGGGAATCATGAGGAAGAATGCTGGTAACAAGGGTTAGGCTGTTGTAGTTGTTATGTGCCGTCGGGTCAGACCCGACTCATAGCGACCCCCCCTTGGGTTGCCAAGGCAGTATCACTACGGAAGTAAATTGCCTAACCTTCCTTCCGAGGAGTGGGTTAGGCAGCAGTTTCCTGTGATTAGTGTTTCTTGCTAGTGAAAAAGACTGAAGATCCTTGGCAAGACCCTCAAGCCACTGTGCCACATTTTGCCCTTAGCTCGATTGCAGCTGAGTTGTTAGGTAATCTTACCTTCATCATGTCAAAGAATAAAATTTCTTACTAGCCATTTTTATGAAAAGTACTCAACAATGGTTACCTTCGAGTAAGCACTGCTGAAGTGGTAGCTATTATTCTGAGTAGGCCAAGGAGAACAGAACTTCTCCTTTGGGTTACAGCAGTTTCCTACTCTGCCCTGTTTGGATTTTTGCCAATTTTTTTCTCCTTTCCATTCCAACTACCAGTCCCCAGATTACCAGCAAGTTCCTTTCCTCAGTGTATCTTTAGGTCAAAATTGTACTGTCAGAACGGTTACATACAGTTCATGTCTGACATCACTTAGTCAAATATTTGTCCTAGAATAGTCTATAGTGTACCTTGCTATGCATTAAAAAAAAACATGCCCAGATACACTAAAACATCTTTAATACAGTAATAATATTTTGATATGTATTGGAAAGTAGCTTTTTATTATCATAAACCATTATATGTACCTCAGATTTCTCATATAATTGGCTTGGGGGGTGGTTGGTTTGTAACTATGGAGGGCCATTCATAACCTGGGGACTGGCTGTATAATATTTTTAGTGCTTATTACATAAGTTAATTTTTATCTTTGTTCTTTTTAAAATTAATTTAAAAATTTATAATTCTTATTTAAGGGAGTCCTTATTTAGGTTATTTTTTTAATAGTTCTTCACTTTCTCTTTGGATCAATGACTTCAACAACCTCTCTGCCCTGGGACTAATGCTTTTATTATTATTCTCCCTGGCCCACTAGGCAACACAGAGCTGACAGGTAGCACCAACCTGATAACACACTACAACCTGGAACATGCCTATAATAAGTTCTGCGGGAAGAAGGTGAAGGAGAAGCTAAGTAACTTCCTGCCTGACTTGCCAGGAATGATTGATCTGCCTGGTTCCCATGATAACAGCAGCCTCCGCTCCCTCATTGAAAAGCCCCCTATTCTTGGTGGCTCTTTTAATCCTATTACAGGGACCATGCTGGCTGGCTTCCGCCTCCACACTGGCCCGGTGAGTTCCCTCTTGGGGAGGAAGAAAGCAAAGGGGAAGCCAAAAGGCCATGGAGGTGGTTTTTCTTTGTCCCTGTCTGTTCCTTCATAACTTCCTGAGCAGAACGGATGATGGGAGCAGGGGATTCCCTCCCCCTCTTCACCTGGGCCTTCTTTTGGTTCCTGTAGTTGCCAGAGCAATGTCGTCTGATGCATATTCAGCCTCCAAAAAAGAAGAACAAACACAAGCACAAACAGAGTCGTACCCAGGATCCTGTCCCCCCAGGTAAGAAGTGGTGGTTCTGCTCAAAGCCAGCAAAGCTGACCTCCGTGACATGGTTCAGCCTTCTACAGCTAACCCGTTAAGTTTCTCATAGATCCCTGGACTCCCAAATTCTCCCCAAGAACAAATGGATGCTGGGGTCTCGGGTAAGCAGAGACTTGGGACAGGGGCTTTAGCAGCACCTCTGTATCATTTCTGGCCGTTTGGAGAAAAGCAGTTGCCCCTGACTCAGGGTTTTCATGTATTCTTCAGAGTTCATAGTAGGGAGTTTTGAGCTTTAGGAGTGACAGGCAACCTAACGTCTCTTACAGAAACACCATCTGATTCAGATCACAAAAAGAAGAAAAAGAAAAAAGAGGAGGATCCTGAACGGAAAAGAAAGAAGAAAGAGAAGAAGAAAAAGAAGGTAGGGTAGGAACTTAGGACTACAGCCCAGTGAGGTTTCCCATTTCCCCAGGTCCCAGGTAGAGTTCAAGGCCTTTACCTCAGGTTGGACCTGAGACTGAAAACCCAAGGAAGGTTGCAGTGTTTTCTGTACAGCCCTAGTCAAGGCCATGATATCCTAGCTGTTCTCTTAACTATCTTTGTCTTTTCCAGAATCGACACAGTCCAGACCACCCAGGGGTGGGCAGCTCCCAGGCCAGCAGCAGCAGCAGCCTCCGCTAACAGGACCACTGGACTCTGCTATGCTGGCTTTTCCTGCTGTACTGAACCTGCTGACAAAAGCTGCCAGTCTCTCAGACACTGCCTTGGAAGCCTCCCCTATGGCTGGGGCAGAGGCCAGCTTGTGCCATGTTCATTTGAGGTTCATGTATTGGAAAAGGACCATGCTTTTGTAAGGCTCAGCCTAGCTGGCTCTCAAGGACATCTCTTCCTCTCCCAGGAAGATTTCGTTCTGTCTCTTTTGTACAGTTTGTCTGATTTAGAATGTGATCTAGTTAAGGATCTTTTTCTGGGGGAAAAAAACGCATTTCTTAAACTGGCTGCAGTGTGGCTGCGTTATTAATCAGCACTTCAGCTCAGGTATGACAAGATCTGAAGGGATTTCAGTCTTGTCTTCAGCAGGCAGAGAACCAACCAAATGAGACTGGGTCCAAAAGTAATACCTCCAAGATGAGGTAGGGCTTGCCAGTACCTTTCCACAGCAGAGAAATATCACTGCTCTTAATCATGTCGAGCATAGGAGTACATGAAGCTTCACCCAGGCACCAAATGCCTGGGTTATCTTCAGACTCAACTGTGTTCCATGTCAATACTGTGTTAAAAAACAAAATAGCCAACTGAAAAAGCACCCACAATCACCAGCATATTCCCACAAGGTCAGTTCTTCAGTCCCAAGCCTGCAATCAGTTGATGGGAAACTCTGGTGAGAAATGTGTCTTTTAAAAAGCTTTTGATCCGCCTTCTTCCTTAGTGGGAAATTATTTGGCTGATGTGAAAATATTTCTAAACTAAGATAACAGGCAGCTTAAGCCAACAAAATGTAAGATAATCCCTTTTGTTTTTTGCAGCTGACTAGTTAACTGAAAACATCCATAAGAAAACCTGAGCTAACGTCACCTGACTTTAAACTGGACACAGAACAGTTTTGAGCAAACGTTGCTCCCAGATCAGTGGGTAGAAAACTACTTTCAGCTCATTTTAATCTATTTCATAGCAAAATACTATCCTTAAGTTATAGACAGTGAAAATACAGTGTTCTGGACAGTTTCGACTGGTATTCTAGCATCTGAAGATGCCTGCTTACAATTAGGGCACGACCTTCTACCTTCTACAGACAGAAGAGATGATCTGAGATGCACTTGTAATACCACTGTGTCTACTCACCCTGCTTTAAAGGCAGCCATATTCTGATCACCCACTGCCTCACCTTTGGCTACACAGAGAACGACCATTCACTTTCCACAGATAAAAGTCTCATTAAGGAACAATGTGGTACAAGTCCAGAATTCTCTAAGCTTTGAAATGACAAGCAGCTTTGGTGGTTGAAAGATTTTTTCAGGGAGTTTCTGCATTAAATCATCCAAAGAAAATCAGGACCTGTAGTTTTAAGTGGCTCATTTCACAACAGTCCTGCCTGAAGTGGAATCTGGACCAGAGAAGCTGTGAAAAAGTTTGCTTTGTTAATTCCCAGCAGAGATCACTGGCCCTGCCTTCACCAGACAGAATAACACAAGTCGGGGGGAGCTGGTTAGATCAGGATTTCTTTTTATTCCTTGTTGGTTTAAAATGGCTAATCAGAATAAAAAATAAAAGGGCCTCTGTCTAGAGGCTGGGGTCTCCCCTATTTAGAGGTTAGAACCCAGGTATCCCCTCTACCCAGCACCATACTGAGGTGGGCTGAGGGGTAACCCCCAAGAGACAATCGGAGGGGCCCAGGCCTGCCACTCCTCCTCTCTATCCCCAGTTTTTGGCATGTGATGAAAAATATTGCTTTTTTGGATTCTTTTCTCCCGGCCTTGGATTTTAAAATAACATTACCTGTGTGAGTTAGGGGGAAGTTTTGAGGGGCTAACTGGAGCCCACCCTAATTCCTCTCCTCCAAGGAGAGGGAATGATTCAATATTGATTCTTGAGCTAGGCCACTCCTCCTGATCCTTCCCCCAACTACCACTGGTGTCATGGGGTATTACCCCTTTCCTGGAGAAATTAAGTGCCAATAAGCCTAGAAAACTAACCCTCCAAGTCCTGTCCTGTGACAGAGTTCCCAGGCTCACCTCTCCTGGGCTTCGTTCCTGATCACTTAGCACCAACAACAGAGGGTGCTATTTCCTTAGTAACTGGGACAGGAGAGAGGGAACCCTGGGGAATAAGGAAGATTTTAAAGTCTCCCCTCTTTTCCTGCTGGTCTGAGGAATGGAAGAGTGGGATCCCCTCTTTATGCATATCCCTCCCTCATTTTCCCATCCCAGGATAGATATATAATTTCTTTGATATTTATAATATATATATATACATATACATATATATATATGTATGTATGTATGTACACACACACCTGGTAACGCAGAAGAGGAAAAAAATAGAATCCGTAACAATAATAAAAAAAATTATTTCTGATTTAAAAATGATCTGGTTCCCTCCAGGGCGAGCAATTGCACAGATGTCCACTGAGTCTGGTCCAGGGGTTAAAGGCGGTCTTAAAGGTGGAAGGAGACTGCTACCCCAGTCCCAGGGCTTCAATTCTCCAACTCCCCAGCCCCACTGCATTTTCTGAAAGTTCCTCATCCTCCTGGAATCGGCAGTTTAGAAATGTCCATGCAGGGGAGGGGAGCCCGTTGAGGGAAGGAAGATGACCACCTGGGGCCCTTTGGTGTAAGCACAGAGGCATGGGGGAAGGGCGCCAAAGGCTCACACGGAAATCTCATAGGTGGTACCGCCCACTCCTGATACTTTCTTGACTCCTCCTCTTGTGGGACTACTGAGAGGCGGCTGGCCCGGGCCAGGAGAAGCTGAACCTATACTCTTGGGCTGCCCATTGGATTTGCTGTAGACAGTCTTGAGCTGTACTTCATCTCTGGGGAAAAAAAAAAAAAGAAATAGGGGTCAGGAAATGGGACACACAACACAGAAAAATGAGGGGCAGTTTTAAAAAGGAGGAAAAAAGATGTATTGTACTACGTACATACATACATATATACGTACATATATTCTCACCCAAACACTCCTTTTTGTTTTACATTCTCCTTACAAGACATTTGACTGCTAACTACTCCTCAGAAGGTAGGTTGAGCAATCTACTTCCATAGTGATACCGCCTTGGAAACCCTTGGAGGGGTGGCTATGAGTCGAATCCAACTCAACAGCAATAAGTTTTTTTTTTTTTGGTTTTGCAACAAACCCAATCAATTCCTGTCTCCCCCCTTTAATCTTCTCTAATAGCAGCTATATCTCAGAAATGTATTTATTCTCGGGCAGTTAGGCACTTTTAGGAAGTCAGGAATAAGGTAAAAACATTCATCTTCAGTCTCTTAACAGGAATGGCCCATGAGGCAGTGGGTGTTGAGCGAGACTGAAAACGAGCTATCTTAAGAGGAGACAGCTCTGGGCCACATGCGCTGGAGTGTTCCCGTAAAGCCCCGAGACCTGCAGGGCACTAGGCTGATTTTAAGCCTGCTGCAGATTGGGCAATCTACTTCTGTAGTGACACCGCCTTGGAAACCCAAGGAGGGGTCGCCATGAGTCTGATCTAACTCAATGGCAGCGAGTTTCGTGTTTTGGTTTTTGAGGGCTATGACAGCACTGATACTTACTTGGGTGTCAGTAATGGCTGCAAGGCCACTTCTTCCGTCTCAGAGACACCATGTGGGGCTTTTTGGCTGCTGTAAGACATAGATCGGCCCAGGTATGGGGCAGGTGAGCCTGGTTCAGGGGACCCTAGTCCCCGGCCCCTTAGCCCATCTGGCTTGCCAAAACGTGGGGCAACTGGGCGTCCCAGTGGAGTCTTGCCCAAGGGTGATCGCTTTGAATCATCCGAGGAGGAGCTAGTACGAGGGGCATGGCCTGAGCCTGGTGTTGACTGAATGCCCGAGTCCCCCAAGCCTGGTTCTTCCTCGTGGCCTGGGAGTGGGGGTGACTGGCGCAGCAGCTTCTCACGTTCCTGGAGGGAAGCCACAATATGGCGCGACAGATTGTCGTACCGGACTGGTGAGGGCTCTCGGTGTGATGGGCCTGTTGGCACCAAACGTGGGTGCCTCTCGGCTTCCCGTTGCTGAGCCAGCCGGGCTGACAGAAAGGGAGAGGTGTAGCCTAGAGGCGCCTCTGGCTCAGGCCCTGCCTGCACAGACTCGAAATCAGGGCTGTCTGAAGGAGTGAGCAGGCTGTCATAAGATAGGCTTCCATTGCGTGTCTGGTTGGCCAGGCTTTTATAGGAGGTGGAGGTTGTACCCTCTGAACGAATGGACTGCAACTGGCCCAGCTCAAACCCTGTGCCTTGGGCTGACTTGAGACTGGAGGAGCGGGAGCCACTCGATAGTGGATCAAAGTGAAAGCTTTTGCCAAAGGTGGGAGAGCGGAAGCTCTCTGGCTCCAAGCTGGGCTCTGAACGGTAGCTGGGATGGCGGCTGCTCTCTGCAATTGAGGCTGGCTCCTTCAAGCTGTCCCCGCGACTCAACTGAGGGAGAAAGAAAGGAAGGGTCTTACAGGTCCTCTTGTGACACAGCTAGACCCCAGAGCCCAAGGAGTGAGACAAAGATGGTATTTATTAAGTGCTAATAATAGTGGCGTAGTGCCTAAGGCATTTGACTGCTATCCAGAAGGCTGATGATTCAAACCCACCACCAGCCACTCCTCGGAAGGAAGATTAGGCCATCTACTTCCGTAGAGATACTGCCTTGGACACCCAAGGAGAGGTCACTATGAGTCAGATCTGACTCTACGGCAGTGAGAATAATAGGCTTTTACATGCATTATCTTATTTAGCTTCTAAACTCATTTTAGGACAAGTAACATCTCAGTTTAAGATGGAGAAAATGAGGCTTAGAGAGGTTAACTTGCCCACAGTCGCAGAGCCGGGTTTTGAACACAGGCCTGACACTGTAATCAGAGCTTTTATCTGTTATGCTCCATTACCTCTGTCTTTGAAGGACAGGCTATTCAATTCCACTACTGCTAACAATTAGTGAAACACTTGGTTTCCTTCCCTTCTCTTCTGTCTTTGCCTTCCCCTAGGCCCAGGTGGCATCCATTACAACCCCTTTTCTTACAGAATACTCATACCTTGGCGCTGGAAGAATGAGGCATGGCGGCTGATGCACTGCTGCTACTGTAGCCCGGCCGATACTTGTACATAGTTGGCGTAGGGGGGCTGTCCTTGCCCAAAAGGCTGCTATCTGCAGGAAAAAGGCCCAGGGCCTTGTAAGCTGTTTTCTTAACCTAGCTAGAGTTCCTTAAACTTCAGGGGGATGACAAGGAATAAAAAGATCATATCTAGCAAAAAGAAAGTTCAGGGAACTAAAGGCTCACCTGCATCCAGAACGCAGGTTGGGTGAAAGCACTAGGCAGGTCTAGGATGTTCTCTGGTCTAGGAGCTGCTGGTTTTACCCAATTCACTGCCAAGAGCTAAGCTACAATCCCTCTCTTTCAGCTATTCAAGGAAGTGGCCTAAGTACCACCTATTGGATGTGTTCAGCTACCACACAATTGGGATCTCCCAGCCCTTGGCTGCCCTTTCCACAGCTCACAACTAACCTCCTCACTGCTGCTTTCCATAGGGTCTTGCAGGTCGAGGCAGCCCTTACCTTCGGTAGCAGCCAGGCTGAGGTGTGTTCGTAGCCCCGTGTAGCGGCTCAAGTCTGGCTTGGGAGGTGGTGGAGGTTCCGCGTCGGCGGACTGGCTCTCGGTTATCTCCAAGCTTCCCTTGGACTGGTAAGTGCGGGGTGAGAATAGAAAAAGCAGATTTGGAGAATTCAGCTTTAAGGCAATTCAAAATATTAAAATGGTATAAAAAGGATGTTTGGGAGTCAATTATATATTTCTGAAGTAAGACTTGAAGTCAAGGCACCAGACTCAGTTTGGGGATAGTACTGGATTTTATTTATTTATTTATTTTTTAAAGTTTGCATCAAGACTTTAGGAGCTCCGGTAGCTTTAATTCTAGCACTCGTATTTATTCATTTCAAACAAGAACTACTTATTGAGCTCCTACCATCTGCAAGGTGTTGTATGAAGACCTAGGAGACATGGAAATGAATGGACTTAATTTCTACTACCAGTGAACTTACAATTTAATGGAGAAAAGAAGGTATGTATTTAAGTAATTTAACACAAATCAGAGAGTGATCAATTCTAGAAGAGAGCTGTAAACTATAAGCACGTTTCCATCCCTTTACCATAGGTGAAATCCCCTAAGTTACCTATGTAATACTTCCCTAAATTCTAACCTTAGTTCTCCTCAGTTCTCCCTGGATGCCATTATCCATGATCTTCACAGTTATCTGCCCATCTGACACTTCTGGTCGAAGGAAGGGAGGTCGGATTACAATTGTCTTCTCTCTCTTTGGTCTCCCCAAATACCTGAGTGTCAGAGTTGAAAGGCTTTCATTCATCCGTTCATTTTGAAACATTTATTGTTTGCCTACTACGTGTAAAGCATGTAAAGCATTTTTACAAGTATAAGAAGCTCCTATCATGCCAGATGCTCTGGTGGCTTGCTGCCTAAGGCATTTGACTGCTAACCAGAAGGCTGGCAGTTCAAACCGCTCCATGGAAGGAAGATAGGGCACTATACTCCCATAAAGATTTACCACCTCAGAAACCCAATGGGAGTCGCTATGAGTCGGAACTGACTCAATGGCAGTGAGGGTTTTTTTTTTTTGGGTATTGTGCCAGTGGAAAGGTCAGCACTGAACTGATTAGTTTGATTCCATTAAGAACTGCAGCAAGACTAGGGTTCTATGGGAAGATACCTAGCTCAAGGCACTCTGAAGTAAAACTCATCTTCAGCTCTCAAAGGAGAGTAATTGTGATACCTGAAGTATATCACCTGAACTCACAGGGTCTACTAAAGGATGGACAGGCTCTCCCTCATAGTCATTTGCCATTCATAGACAAAAAAAGCCTTCCTATAGGCAGTCTCCATCTGCCCTCCCCTATACCATAATAAGCCCAAAGATGATTAATATTTTGACCAAGAGTAAACATGAGATCAAAGAGGTAGCTGTACCTGGGTGCTGGGGAGCTACAGAGTACACGGCTAACATTATTACAGCAGCCATTGGTGAAGGGGTTCACACCTCCCCGGAATTTACCCGTAACCTAGAGAGAGGAAACAGGACCACGTTAGTCAGATGGACCTTGACCTCTCTAAAGAGGAAAACACAAATGAACAGTAAATGTCTATTATGCATCCACTACCTGGGGGACACAAAAATGAATAAAACACAATCCTGCCATCAAGGAGCTTATAGTCATGATGGTTAGGAGTGAGGGCTCTGGAGTCAGGGTCCTGGTTTCAAATCCTACGTCTACCTCAAGGAGGTAGTTATCTGACCCTAAACACCAGTTTCCTCATGTAAAGTAGACATAAATGCCTCTTGGAATACTGAAAAATAAGGTAACATACATAAAGTAAGCACTTAAGATGCGCTATTATTATGTACACAAAAATAACTTTTCCCCAAAGGAAACTTTCCGTAAGTAGTACTAGGTCCAGGTCTTGTTACTACAACCTCAAAGCCTAAAGTATCCAGTATATAGCAGGCATTCAGTAAATGAATGTTAACCATGAAGCAGCCTCAATTCTCATGCTTACATGAGAAACTTTAACGATTTCCCCCCACCACCACTAATCTCAGCATCGTTATAAAAGGTATCCACTGAGCATCTTGTGGAAGCACTAGGCTGCTACACGTTCTGTTCTTCAGGGCTGACCTATCATTTCTCCCCGTACCTGTTCGTTGGTTGTGCGGCCCCTAGCCACCAGCACCACGTGAAATCCTGTGAGGCCAGCTACAGGGATGAAGAATAAGCCAGCCACACACATCACTGCCATTCTGAAGTCAAACCATCAAGGACAACAGAACAATGTGACCTGACTTACTAGCCCCAGTGGCAGCCATCTTCTCTTTCAACTTTCACTACCACAGGACTACCTGCCTCATTACTCCCCCTCCCAGACCCTAAAACCCACAGGCCTTGAAGGATACGTGACAGCCGTGCAGACCCCTGAGAGATTCTCCATGTGATAGAGGACATAAAGGAGGCCAAAGCCAAACACACCCATAATGTGGGCTGTCAGGGAAAGGAGAAAGAGGAAGAAATAACGGTAGTTCCGGCGACCAATACAGTTGTTCACCCAGGGGCAGTGATGATCAAATTCCTAGAGGCAAAAAAAGACAGACTGAGAAGCATCCTTGGACCACAGCATAGAGCATTCTGTCAAAAGAACAGTTGGCAGACCTTAAGTTTTGCTTTTAGTAATATGTGATCATCTTCACCATTTAGTTAAAAAATGTAAAACAGATTTATGCAGTCCATCTTGCATCTTACATAAGGAAGACCTGGTGGTTACTTCCGTGTGTCAACTTGGCTGGGCCTGGTTGAGTGGCTGGGCAGCTGGTGGTAGTTATTCCCCATGATGAGACTGGCAGTCAGCTCCATCGTGGGATCTACCACAAGCAGCTGAGCAGCTGCTGTGGGTATGTGGTCTGCTTCCCATATATAAGTAGCAGCTTTGGGAATGGTCTCTAGCTTATGGCACACTTGGACCCTACATGTAGCTGTGTCATTGTTCAGCAGCCTGCCATGCTCTGCTGACCTTCAGACTTAGAATGGACTTGAGTTAATGGCCTGCCGTGTGGTTGGTAACATCGGGACTGTGCCTTTTTACTTGTTAACCTCGGGTTTCTTAGCCTCAGCAGCCAGCAGCTGTCTGACTGAACAAATGCCTCTAGCTCCAATGGTACAGGAGCAGGAGGCAGAGCTGGACCCCAAGGTTGAGGGGCTTTCACCCAGCCCCTAGAGGCTGGTACTTTGAACTTGGACTTAAAGCCTCCAAACTATAAGAGAATAAACTCCTGTTTGTTAAGGCCACCCCACTTGTGGTATATTCTTGTCAGAGCAGTACTAGGTAGCCACAACAGAAGACCTTGCAGAAGATGGCCAAAGGTCAAGGCCAGCTCTCAAGGCGTTATCCTCTGTGACCAAGAACTCTAAAAGGGATGAAAGACTTCGCAAAAACGTAAAGGTTCTCAACAAAAGAAGAAAATCTGGCAGGCAACTGCTTACACTAAAGATGGATTGGAAGAAGAGACAAAATAGAAAAGACAAGGGGATGAGAAAGGAAGCAAGTGAAACAGAATTATAGTAACTGGACGCAACAGCATGACATAGGGGGAGCAAGAGATGAGACAAAGCCAGGACAAATGTAACCAAAAAGATGAGCCAAGAACCTGGAGTTATGACTCCTGGTCCTGGGAAGCCTGTGTCTGCTCGGGCCTCAGCTTCCCTCCTGCAAGAAACTATGCCCTGCCTCACTGCTAACACTGCTGGACAGAGCTAGAACATGCAGCCCAGGCAGTCAGCCAGGACTGTACTTCACTAAGACCAAGAAATTACAAGATACAGTTCTTATTCTCTACGTAAGACAAAGGTAACTTAAGTGTCAGGACTTCTCCCACCCCAAGTTCTTACCTCCACACAGTTGTCACAGACACTGCAGTGGGAACATCGAGGAGGACGGTAGAAGCGGCAAGTGGCACACCATTTCATGCGCACCTGGATGCCCTTGATCTCCACGGTTTTGTAAAGGGGAGCTCGGAAGTCATCTTCCTTGTCTTCATCCTCCTCAGCTGTAGAGAGGAAAAGTCAATTAAAATAGTTATATCAGAACTGTACTAGGCACTAGGGATGTGGTGATGTTTAAAATCTGACCCTTCGAGGAATATTAGACTAAAATGGCTGCAAAAACTAGAAAGTAGTAACTATAATACTGTGAGATCAGCTCTGTATATAGCACTAGGGGGACAGAGATGAGGAAAGAATTTCATTCTTAAGTGAATTCACCTCCTTAAAGTGAAATTAAAGAGAAAGTGACTCAGAAGAGGCAGCTCTATGTGTACACTGATGTTCTATGGTTTACCTATTATGAATGTATTTCAAGAAGAGTGAATAATTAACATATTAAAATACATGTATTTGGAGTGTGCACAGCAGTTCACTATCTGCAAGTCATGACTGAACTAACTATAGTAATTCGAGAGAAACTGACATCTACCTTTTTGCCATACATGAACCCCTTACCTAAAATGCCTTCCTCTACTTATCAGTCCTCCTTGTGTACTGCAGAATTGTTTGCTGCTCAAGCTCTCTTCACATGAATGCCCCTGCTCCCAATTTTCACCTATCAGAAACCTACCATTACATTTCAAAATTTAAAAGGCATTATTTGCTTATTTACAGTGAGCAATTTTTTATTATTAATAATAATATAAAAAAACTGTAAGAAGGAAAAGTTAAGTAAGTGATAGTGTAGCCAGTACAATGTAAGTTTTCAAATTTTTCAAATTTAACTGACTTGGAGAAATGCTCACAAGATAAATAAGTGGAAAAAATGCAAAGTGAAAACAATACAAACAGAACGATCCCATTTTTTATGTGTAATTTAAAAATTATATATACATACACATATATATACACACACATACATACATATATACATACACATATACACACATCAAAATATTCAAAGTGTGTAACAGTAGTTATCTTTGAACTGTGAAATTATAGGTGGTATTTATCTTTTTTATACTTTCTACATAATGATTATATCACTTATTAAAATTTTAATTTTTAACAACAGGTTTTTCTTTCCTACTTACAGTGGAATTTGATTGTTTCACACACATTCTTCTACCAGAAGTGAGCTCCTTCTCCTCTGAAGTACTCCAGCTCTTTGATTACTCTTGTAACTTATCATTCAGTGTATTTATTCATATATTTCTAGTAGCACAGTGCCAAGGCATTTGACTGCTAACCAGCAGGCTGATGGTTCAAACCCACCAGCTACTCCTCGGAAAGAAGACTGGGCAATCTACTTCCATAGAGATACTGCTTTGGAGACCCAAGTGAGGGTCGCTATGAGTAGAATCGACTCAATGGCAGTGAGTTTGGTTTTTTTTTTTTTAATACTCTCTTCTAGACCAAGCTATCTTTGTTTCTTTATCTGTAATTGCGATTTGGGTGAAAGTTCACAGAGCAAATTCACTTTCCATACAGCAGCTCACACATACTTTGTCTCATGACATTGACTACAATTTTCCACAATGCTACAGCTCCCTCCCACTTCCTCCCCATAGTTACCTCTTCCCTGTGTCCTTCCCTCCATGCACTCCTGCCCCCTGAGGTATCTCCGTGAGTACACAGCCTTCTATTCTCCCATGATTATTTCCAAGGAGTTTATCTACCTAATGTAAATGTTCAGTAGACCAAGCTATCTTAAAGCAATGATCTTTAAAAAAAAAAAAATCACCAAGTGACAACCATTGTTGTTGTTGTTGTTATGTGCCGTCGAGTCGGCCCTGACTCATAGCGACCCCTCCTTGGGTTTCCGAGGCAGTATCACTACGGAAGTAGGATTGCCCAACCTTCCTTCCGAGGAGTGGCTGGTGGGTTTAGTGCCTACCATATAAACACACACACACACACACAAAAAGTTGCTATTGAGTTAGTTCTGACTCATAGCAACTTGAGAGAAAGCAGAACTGCTCCTACAGTTTCCAAAGGTGTAATCTTTAGGGGGCAGACTGCCACATCTTTCTCCCATGGAAGCAGCTAGGTTCAAACCTCCCATCCTTCAGTTTGCACCTAAGTGTTTAACCACTGCACCACCAGGGCTCTTTATCCTCTATATAACAGATGAATAAATATTTGATAAATGACTATTAAAGGCTCATTAAAATAGCCCTTCTTGTCTTTAGGGACTCAAGAGTTCCTTCCACTCACCTTATCTTTGAAACAGAAGTCACAAGTGGAACACAGTGATTCAGGCCTTAGAAGCTATGAGAGATTATGCGATGCCACAGTCCTTCACTACACAGTAAGTTTCAGAGATGCCTCATTTCACCCAAGTTCCTATGCCAATAATCCTACCTGTCTCACTCTTTACAAGGTAACTCACATTTGAGAGGAAAATTAGATGTCATCAGTAGCAACTTTAATCAAGTTCTCCTCTTTCTACCTCTTATTTCACCAATGGTAGTTCTTATTCTCACCTCTATCTCAGAAACAACCTACTTATGTAAGGACAACACTTCAACATGCACTGGAAAGCATCTCCTTCCTCTAGAAATTCACTCTTCAATTATCCCCTTTCTTCAATTTCAAATACTCTCTTCTGGTTTATCTCCTTATGCTACAAACATGCTGAAGTCTTCTGTATCCTAATTAAAAAGCAAAAAAAAAAAACCTTCACTCTATCACTCTATAAAGTAATAATAATAATAAAAAAATCTGGTATAGGCACACCAAAGATAAACTGTGGGTTCAGTTACAGACCACCACAATAAAGTGAGTATTGCAAAAAAGCACTATTTTCTGGTTACCCAGTGCATGTAAAAATTATGTTTACCCTATGCTATAGTCTATTAAGTCTATCAGAAAAACGTTTGGAATACTTTGAGAATTACCAAAATGTGACACAAGGACACAAATTGAGTACCTGCTATTGGAATAATGGTGCCAGCTGACTTGCTTGACACAGAGTTGCTACAAATCTTCAATTTCTAAAAAACACAGTATCAGAGAAGCATAATGCAGCAAAGCACAATAAAAGGAAGAATATCTGTACCAGTACAGGACAGACATACAGACCAGCGGAATAGAACTCAAAGTCCAGAAATAAACTCTTTTCTATGGTCAACTGATTTTCAATTTGGGTGCCAAGTCCATTCAATGAGTAAATAGTCTCTTCAAAAATAGTGCTAGGCTCCCAAATTCATTTTATAAAGCAAGTATAACCTTGATACCAAAACCAGGCAAAGACATTACTCAAAAGGAAAACTACAGACCATTATCAATCATGAGTACAGATGCAAAAATCTTCAACAAAATCCTAGCCAACAGACTCCAACAACATATCAAAAAAATAATTCATTATGACCAAGTGGGGTTCATACCAGGTATGCAAGGATGGTCCAACACTAGGAAAACAATCAACATCATCCATCACATAAACAAAACAAAGGAAAAGAACCACATGATCATATCCATCAATGCAGAAAAGGCATTTGATAAAATCCAACACCAATTCCTGATGAAAAGTCTCAGAAAAATAGGAATAGAAGGGAAATTCCTCAACATAATGAAGGGCATCTATGAAAAACCAACAGCCAACACTATTCTCAATGGACAGAGACTGAAACCATTCCCCCTGCGAACAGGAACCAGACAAGTATGTCCTCTCTCACCACTTCTATTCAACACTGTACTGGAAGTCCTACCCAGAGCAATAAAGCAAGAAAAGGAAGTCAAAGGCATCCAAATTGGGAAACCAAAAAAAAACCAAACTCACTGCCATCCAGTCAGATCCGACTCATAGCAACCTCTCCTTAGGTTTCCGAGGTGGTATCACTACAGAAGTAGATTGCCTAACCTTCCTTCCGAGGAGTGGCTAGTAGGTTTGAACAGCCAGCCTTCTGGGTAGCAGTCAAATGCCTGAGGCATTACCAGAGCTCCTTCCAAATTGGGAAGGAAGAAGTAAATCTATCCCTATTTGCTGATGATATGATCCTATACATAGAAAACCCAAGCGACTCAGTAAAAAAACTACTGGAAGTAATTGATTTAGCATAGTGGCAGGATAAAAGATCAACATCCAAAAATCAGTTTGGATTCCTCTACGCCAGCAAAGAGACTGCTGAAAGCAAACAAGGAAATCAGTACCATTTACAATAGCTACCAAAAAAATTAAATACTTGGGTATAAATCTCACTAGAGACATAAAATATCTGTACAAAAAAAACTACAAAACACTACTTCAAGAAACCATAAGAGATCTACATAAATGGAAGAACATACCATGTCCATGGATAGGAAAATTAAACATCGTGAAAATGTCAATATTACCCAAAGCAATCTATATGTTCGTTCAATGCAATCTCAACCCAGAGCCCATCAACATTCTTTAAGGATATGGAAAAGCCAATAACTAATTTTATATAGAAAGGAAAGAGACCTCAGATAAGCAAAGCACTATTGAAGAAGAAAAACAAAGTAGGAGATCTCATGCTCCCGGATCTCAAAACCTACTATACAGATCTGTAAGAATTCCCAGGTGTACAGTAGAGCTGACAAGGGACAAGGTTATAGTCACTTCTTGGTCACAGCCAGCTACCCAGAGAGACCAAGCAGTTGAACTTGTGGGCTCGGGACCATGGTCAGAGGGGACATCAAGCTCAATTGGCATAACATACTACACAAAACACAATTCCACCTCCTACTTTGGTGAGTAGCAACTGGGATCGTAAAAGCTTGCAAGTAGCCATCTAGATGCAACGATGGGTCTTTCCTCATCCAGAGCAAAAGAAGAAGAAAACTGAAGATTCATGGAAACAATTAGTCCCAGCGGCTAGTGCACCATGAGATCCGCACCCTATACGACTATGAGACCAGAAGAACTAGATGGTGCCAGTTACCACTGTCAACTATTTGGAGGGTGATCTATGTAGGAGATCCTGGATAGAGAGGGAGAACAATGTGGAGCAAAACTCAAAATCATTTGGAAAAAAAAAAGGGGGACACCAGGTTTGCTAGTCTGATAGAGCCTGGGGGACCACTAAGACTATGGCCCCTA